GAACGGGGGTGGAAGGGAGCAGTAATGTGTACCAGGAAAAGGGCTGGTACAGGGTACGTCATATGTGGAGTAAGGGCAAAGGAAGGACCGAGCTGGGGCTGGGGCTGAGTCACAGCCACAGTTCCTTGTTTGCTCTGTGAGCAGCAAGGTTGTGCACTGCCCTTTACTGAGGGTAGAGTGCAGTGGTGCTAAGCTAGTTGTGATTTTTGCTGCTTCTACACAGTTTTATCTGTAATTGCGAACATCTGTAGTTCTGTCCAGAGGTTTCTGCAGTATTATAAAAACAATGTGGGCACAAACCCTACTGACTCCGTGTGTAGCTGACGTTCTTTATGTTCTATCATCTGTGCCTTTTCTCTTCCTTTCACCTCTCGTTACATGTTCTTGCCAAATGCGTGTGCTGCACTTTGGTGCCCTAGAGACTGTATTGGCTCACACCAAAGATCCTGTAGCTCAGAAGTAGCAATATTTAGTAATAGTTACCATTGCTTTTCTGTAGATTTGCTTTAAACAAAAATTGCTCTCAGTTAGAATTAGTATTTAACTGATTTAGCTTAGTAGTAAATGTGATGCTAGCACTGCATTTAAAACTATCGGGCAGTCATCAAAGCACAGATTTGCACATTTGTGGTCAGTGTGTTGGCTTAACACACATTAATTGTGGAATGTTTTAAACCTTAATTGCATTTTTTGTGCTGTTACTGATTAATTCCAAACAATTAGTGCACCTCTTATTTACAGGATTAGGAGCACAAAATGCACAAACAGCCTTCATCTAGGGTCAACTGTACCAGATGATCTTAAGGAGTTACCTTTCACTTACAGCAGAATGAGTTTCTCATCTCAAAAACCTGTGGTACAATTATGTGGTGCCTTTCTGTATCTCCTTACATTTAAGGAATTGTTGTAGGTTGCAAGCAAACACAACTGTTCTAAAACAGCAGCTATCTTTAGTAATTTGTTTGAACAATTTATCTGATTTATGTTAAAAGTTAAAAAAAGCTTTTCTACAAAGCCTAGACAATGAGAGAGGCCATAAGTTGTGATGCAGCCAGCAAAGATCATTCTGATCAGTTTATTTTTTAATTATGCGGGTGTCTCCTTCTAAAAACTCACATTGAGTGCACAGAACACAGTCCATATTTTAAAATTGCAGCTTATCAGATTTGCTCCAAAACTGACCTGAATAAAGCAAATCTTATGTTGATTTGACTGTTGATTGTCAATTAACAAAAGCTATTTAGCACGTATGTTCTGCACAAACTTAGAAGCCAATTGGTTCAGTGTTTGAATCGAGTAGCTATTTTAGCAAAGCCAGATATGCCTTTCTCATTCAAACTGCTCCTCTGTTTTAGTCACACACTGACACAGCCCTTCATTTACCACATTATTTCTTATTCCTAACCTGGCACTACTGAGCTCATGCTCAGTTGCTGAGTTAACTAGACCTGCCCTGGATCAGAACATTCAGTGTTTCCCGGTAATGAGGTTCTCTCTCTGCCTCCTACTCTTGAAATATGATGTAATATCTGATGATTTCATCCTGCCTGCATAACTTGTCAAACTGGAAAATGGAGTTTAGTTGACCAGTTTGGTAATATTATAGAAACGGGTGAATTGGCTTAATGTCTCTTACTTTATTGGACTTTTAAGTTGCCAGTGAGGAAAATATTCTGACATGTTAATATGTCTTGTAACAATCAACTTTTTAAATACTGTTTAAAGCCAGATTTTTTTTCCTTTCTCTTTGTAATTTTAATTTTTTTTTTTTTTTGCTATCTTCTATGTATGAATTTTTAACAGGCAGAGTTAACAGTTCAAGTTAATTCATTATTTAACATAAAATATTCAAAGTAGACACCAAAATTCAAGTATTCTATGAATATGTAGTGCCTGTACAGTTCAAAGAACATTAATATGCCCAGATGTTTCTCAATTCTGGCATCAAGTAATAGTTAGCTAAACCTATTAAAATCAAGGGAAGTCATGAGTATTTCAACATATGTAATTAAGATAAACTAGGAAGTTGGAATAGTTTCTAAGCTAGCATAAAGAAGCTGTTAATTTTAATCAAAATACAAATCTATCTGAAATGAAATGTAATATCTTGCTCAAAATTAGTAATACATAGACCTGTTGTATTTATAGGTTTGGGTATAGTATCTTCAGAAAATACTCTGGAAAGAACAAAACCAAAACTAGTTAGTATTCTGTTAAAATAACCTTTAAACAATCCCTCTTGGATGTTGTTACGTTGGTAAAATATAATTAGCCACCTGCTACGTGTTCACAAGTTTGGTTTTCCCTTTGCCTTCAGGAGGTTGAAAATGCTCAATGAGAGGTAAGTGGTGTTATAACTGATGGCTTGCTTGAGGACCAAGTATAAAACAGGAACCACGTAAGAGGAAGGCAAGGAGGAGTTCCTTAGATTGTGGGGTTCATAATGTACTGCAGAATAGGAAAGGTTTCCCTGTGGAAAAGGCTAGCAAGAAGTATTCAGTAGAGGCTAGTCGCTGCTGAGCAAGATGCCAGCTGAAGGAATAAGCAAGTCTGGAGATCCTCCTTTGTATTTATGACATTTTTCTACCAGGAGGAACTTTTTTTTTTTTTTTTTTTTTTCTGTAAGGCTACTAGTTTATTTAGAAAAAGAAAAGCAGTAATAATATGAGATCCTTTAAGCATGAAAGAGCACCCCATTCCAAATCTTCAGCCTACAAAGCAAGTCTTCCAGTACAGCCTGGTAGGCACTGAAAATCTTTTGACTTGAGACAAATGTCAAGATTTTGCTGTCTATGGAGTAGAGGTGAATACAGTTTCCAAGCAGCAGAGGATGCTTGGTGATGCATCTCAGCTGCCAGAGTTAAGCAAGAACTTTAAACAAAAGTAGAGTTTGCAAGTGGAAATTTCATGCCAGTGGTATGAAATACAGCCTGATCTCTTTTGCAGCAACACATCTGGGAGACAGCAACATGTCCTGGGCTGTGTTGTCCCCATGAGCAGTCCATCTTTCATTCTTTGTTCGTGCAGCTGTTACCACTACTGAGATGGCAGAATATGCAGAATTCATCAGTTTCTGCATGGAAAGCAGCTGCCTCAGCCTCCACACAGGGCCACTCACTTTGGCATTTTCTTAACAGCAACGTTAATCTTCAAGAAAACCTTAGAGATCACTGTCTTAGACCTGCATTTTTAAGGAGGGAAGGCCTGCAACTCTTATAATTAGAAGTATTAAAAACCTCATAGAACTTAGAGTAATCAACAAAGCTGGACATGTAGTTACCTGTAGTGAGTAAGATTTCTTCTTTGACACTCTACCTAAAAGTGAACTGCAGAACGTGTAGTTGGACTTGGTTCTTGTTGCATTGTTGGTATCTTGCTCCAAATGTGGGGAGCTGCTGCATTTCAAGGGGAACATCTACATGTGAGGATTTCAACTGATATAAAACATGGCTGGATGTCTTAAGACTTTTTTTTTTTTTTAAGTTTTTCAGCATAATCACAATCCGTGTGTTTCTCTTATAACCAGTGAAGTACATTTCTGATAGTCCGTAGGTACCATGTGCCTCCTGAGAATTGCAGGTTCAAAGGGCTTACATCATTAATTTGTATAAAGAGAATGTTGGAAGAACATCTTTTTTTCTGTCTGTACTGATGAGGATCATGGCTTTTTCAACATCAGTATGGTTATTTTACTAGATCTCTGTACTTTTGCCTCTGTGCTATGGCAAGTGAAAGCTGATTAAAAGAGCCTTACTTGAGTCTGAAAACCAGATGGGAGTTATACATCAACTTTTAAAATGGACTTAGAGCATTTAGAACTTGGTTACAGCTGCTAGTACCTGTCTAAGATAACTTGGTTAAAGTAACCACTGGAGAAGATTTTAGGTTAGTAAGCAGCTGTTCACAATACGTGAATCAAAGCCATATTTTCATAAATTTTCCATGCTGTTTTATCAGAGACTTCAGATATCACAAAGTTATGTGGCCTTGTTTCTTCAGTAGTGGGGTAATACAAGCACCATAGGAGTAATCTCTTTGAAATCGGTCAAGTCGTGGTAGGCTTATGCAGACATGTGGTAAACAAGTATAGAATTGAGAGACATTACAATGAGGTTTTGCTATACTGACTGTTAATAATTTGACCTTGTTACACTTTTTTTATTGGAGTGCAGAATTTTCTCCCCACCTCCTTCTATTAGCAAAGTCATTTTTGTGCTGCATGTGTATTTTCAAGCTACATAGGTATGTGAAGTGTTTTGCCTCTGCTCTGTGCATCCGTGAATGTAAGTAGAGAGGCAACTGATGACAAAGAAAGTAGTGTTTGTTTTCATGATGTCTCTAAGATAAGATTTTTCTGAAGAAATAAGATGTGTTGGCCTCCCTTCCTGCTTGGACCATGCAGATCCCTGGGGTAGGGTTTCCTTGAGGGATTTTTTGGCTTCCTCCACCCTGTGTTTTTTCTCCTGAGGTACTAATGGCAGTTTTGGTTCTGTACTAGCACTTTCAGCTAATATTTTATTTATTATCTATTAGTCTTGCATGGCTGCAGCTAGCGTTGTAGCTGTGCCGAGGTTGCACACGCATCTCCCCTAGCGTTGCACCTTGGGGTGCAGGTACCTGCTGTCATAGGCGTAGTTACAGGCAAGGGATAAACAGCTCTATAGTAGCAACTCCTATGCGGAAGACAGCGTAAAAGGTAGCCTTATTTTTAATGCATTCTCACATTTGTTGATGACCATATTTCTTTTCCAAGACCAGTGAAGTTGGGACCTCACAGTGCAGTTTTACTTCAACAACATGATCAAAACATTAAGAACATTCAAAACTAGGCCTGAAATTGCAGTTGTAGAAAAACACTTAATTTTGCTACATTTCATTTTACCTACGTACCTGAAAATTTGGATTATAAGATCAAGAAAAACAATGACTGTTCAAAATGCTTTATTCTAATGTTGTGTATTGCACTTATTTATCTAATTATCTTCTTACTGTGTTCTTAGGAGATTCTTAAGAATGAGAATTACAGGGAAGAAATGAAACAGAAAATCAAAGATGTATCTGAAAAGGATAAGCTGCTTCAGGCCAAGGAGTACAAGGAGGGACTTGTTGCTGAACCAGCTCATACTCGTGTCAAAGGCCATGCCTCTGCCCCCTACTACGGGAAGAACGAGCCTTCGGAAGACCCAACCAGCACTGCCAGTACCTTCCAGCCAGGCTCCTGGATGCCCCCGGGCAGCGGTAGTAGCCAGAGCAGATAAACAGCTGTCCTGCACAGATACTGCTAATGGAAGAGTGTTTTAAACAGACAACATGAACAGCTGTTATACCTGAGTGTGCAATAAAGTAATGTAAGGGCAGTTTAATTTCTTTTTGCAGAACTGTTCAAAAAGGCTTAGTCATGACAAAGTATTGTAAAATGTCTGGGTTTAGTGAAAATCAGGATGTGTTACTTAACTTTGTTTTCAGGAGTTGCTGTTCATCAGTTACTCTTGAAATCACAGGGAGGTTTTCTAGCAAACTTAATTTTCTTGAATAATTCTTTTTTTTTTCCTTGAAGGATCCCGTATTTTTAAAATAATTTCAGTACACTCAAGTTTTCCAAAACCCAAGTGTCAGCTGAAGATAATTCTTCAGAATGCTTGTTAATTCCTGTGCCAGTGTGCTTTCCTCTGGCAAGTGGATGGAAAAGTTCATTTAACTCACAGGTATCACTATGGCACTGCACTAACAACACCCTGCATGAATCTTAAGATACACAACATAGGTAAATAACATTTGATTTGCAGCCAGCAGTAAGCACAGGATAAAATCAGGCTGAGTTAAAACTACTATATCTAAGTACTATTGCAGAGCTTAGAAGCACTCGGTAAAGCTGCAGGAAAATAACACATGGTTTGGGACAAAGGACTGTCATTAATATTAGAAAAAAATAAAGCTAGTTTTTATTTCTGGTGTATTCAGTGACTTCCCTAAATGGTATGATTTATTTGGCTAGTTTAGATAAATCAAACATGCAGATTGTTTGCTTAGAGATGATGTCTGAGAACTTCAAGTCAAAAACAGACCATACACATTTTTGCAAAAAGTATCAAATTTATTTATGGACTGCATCTTTCATCAGTTCTCCTCTATGTTTTTTAAGCTTATCAAAGGTGAGACACACGCATTTGACAACACTTGAGACAAAACATGGTGACTTAATCCCTTGGAGGTATAAAATGCCATACTCTACTAATGCTTGCTTTGACCAACGAAATTGGAAGAAGATCAGCAGTACTTCACATTTACTTTAAGGTGTTTCAGTTATCGACTCCACACCTCTAATCCCCTTGGTGTCAGCCAGCTCTGAGGTCTCCTCATTTGAATCAAGGTATTTTTTGAAGGTTTTAAACATATCAAAACTGTTGCTGGAAAGCACAACTCTGTGCTGCTGTTTAGAAATACATTAACTCTAAAAACTAAGTGCCTGCCACAAGCTCTTTAGAACTAGACCACCAATAATAATTAGGCTCTGAAAAATTAATCAATTCTGTTAGAAAAACATGAATTGGAACCAAGGTTACATAATTTTGGCATATTTACAACACAACCCCCAATGGGACTTTTCCAGTATGCCATCGTTTAGCAGCCTGGAAGGCAGCAGGAGTTTCAAGGGCCATGAGAGCAAAGACCCTGCTTAAACTTAGAAAGTCCTAAATCAGAGTTAGCTAGAAGGTTAGCAGGTAACTAGAAGGTAGCTGCTGTCACCAGTATGTGCATCCTCCTCCTGTACTGCCGCAGCCACCAGCACACGTGGCAACGATCCTGTGTGGCTGTCCTCTGAGGCGTAAAGCGGCTGGAGGCAGAAACAAGTTAGCTACAGGTGGAGAGTTCAGCTCATCCTCAGGGAAAACCAAAGAACACAACAGTGGATTTTGTAGACCATGAGCGGCTTAAGACCAATGAAGGTACTGTGAACAAGCAATCCATTTCCTAGAGTTTGAGCTGAACTTAAAGACTGCTGATGTCTGGCACCTCAGGAAACAGCAAAGCTAAGGTAGGTTCCTCTGCAGACACCACAGCAGCCCGTGTGGCGGAACAAACGGCCAGGCCACGTGCAGGGCCCTTAAAGGGAATCGGTAACATGGGCTACCTAGCTCTGAAGCTAACTCGTCTCTACAGCTCTGCTGAAGGTATACCAAAACCTGCCTTTCTGTAATCCAGTTTACCATGCACATTTTCCCAATAATTTCATAATGTGAAGACACTTGTTAAGTCATAGCTGGCTAAAGGAAATAAAAAAAAAAAAAATATCTACCCTCAGAGCCACCCAACAGATTAATTTTTTTAATTAAACATGCAACCTTAGAAAAGCAACCTGCACCACAACACAAGTAAATAAGATTAAATGATTGTAACAAGTGTCACTCAGGCAAACTTTAACACAAATCATCTCAGCAGAAAAGATACATGGAAAGGATTAAATTTAATACTTCAAGAAACAGGAGGATCAAGTATCAAAGAACAGTTACAACACAAAACATACAAGTGTTTCATTTCAGAAGTGTATTCCTTGCACAAGGAAGGCAGGGCTTTTTTCACCCGTTCAATCCTTCTTTGTTCGTTTGGCTTTTGCTATATTCTCTTGGCGTTTCTGTTTCTTCTTTTGCTCTCGCTCCCTGGCCTCAATCATTTTTGCAAGCTTCCACGACAGCGCTGCACTAATTATGAACAGTGGTGTAAGGGCCAAGATCACCGTGGTAAGGAAGCCGTATGGGTCCTTTGCTGCCCACTCCACAATGTACTCAGCCCAAGCCTTAATATCGAACATTTTTCCTCTTTTTCTGCTGGGAATGCCCTAAGGAATAATAATAATAAAAAAGTTCTGAGTATTCAGAAGGAATAAAAGCACACATACACAGAGATTACCACTTAAATATAGGTCGTCATCTTCCATTACTGAAGAGCAAGCTCATTTTTCTGGGAGTTCAGAGCAGCGCACTGTGTGTGGAAGTGGAATACGAAGCTCAGTGT